TGATTTTCCTTATGGATCTTTAATTCGTGAATTTCGATGAAAGGATAAGGGTGAATATTTTACAATCGTGTTTTATATTATTTAAAAAAAATTGGAGTAGCAGAAAATTTGACAAAATTTTTCTATCTTTTGCATATGTATATTTGTATTTCTATTTATTTTCTTATGATATTTTGAAGGAAATCATTATAATCGAATTGTTTCCATAAATCGGATGGACGCGAAAACGCAAGTACAAACGGAGATATTTACTCGATTTATAAAGTGGCCGTACAGCGTACAGCCAAGACTGGTCTAGAACGATTTCCTGTTGAAAGGAGAACACGTATGTAAGCAGTGTCGTGTAGACACCTCGGATGAGGTCATTCGGTTCGCCCACTTATTCCTTGCAGATGTCTAGCGTTTCTGTTGCACGTTCATTGTATGAAATATGCGAATATGAAGGGATAGAAGGATCGGATTCAATCGAGAATTTTATCGAATTTATTAATATCGTTTAATTAGAGAAGAATATGATAAATTTTCATTCTACGATCATTTTAATTTGAAAGATAAAGTTTTCGATAAAGTTTTAAGAGAGTAATATTTACGCTTTGTCAATGTCGCGTTCGATATTACGAAGAGGCTCGTTCGATCGTGGCGAATAGAATACGAATATTTGTTATTATATTTGTCGACTAAAACTAACTTTGTATATATGCATACATATGTATGTATTAATAGAAGTTCGAGACGGAATCGTGATAAAGGAATAACCGGTTGCTAACGAATGTAATTCACGGAGAGACAGAACGATTTGTATCGTTGTAAGTGACAGTGTGACAAGTAAGAATACCGTTCTTGCTATGAGAATGGTGGATGATACGGGTGTAATAAGTTGTGACATCTCGCGTAATGTTCGGATCACATGGAAAATGGAACGAACTTTGAAAATAGTACAATGATATGAACGACTTTATTAAATTCGATGACTCAATGTTCCGAGAAATGTATACGAAATATCATAAATGTCATTTCGTAAGTGTTTAGTTATTGGAATTGTGCGCCATTGTGCATCGAAATATTTATAATTTTGGTATAATCTAGTATAATTTCTTGTACGGTTTTAAATGAATTTTGTACATTTTTTATTACTATTTTTTCCAAAATTTACTTGTACATATCTCACACGTTAATTGTATACTTATTAAAGCAAGTTTAGAAATTAAAAGTTTCGAATAATTAAACGATTTTAATTAAATTGAAAGCGAGTATGTAACCTTGAACTTGCAGAGAAGAAATCCAAAAATTTTGCCTGTGATCAATTTCGACTGGGTGACACGCTTGTCATTCACCATAATCAGATGTAATTAACGTTACGTCACTGACAAGTGTTCGAAGGTAAACGCACTCCTGTTGCATTACCGTATATATTTGAGCGATGAATCAACCTGTTCACGTTACGAAGCGAATTTCGTTCATTGACTCGTTGAATGATGAAGCATTTTAATTATTATCGATAAGAACGGCTTCGTTAAGGATGCACGCGCGTGATTAAGAGGTTAAGCGTGAATAGCGGAATTTGCGTGGGTTCCGAGAGCGGACAAACATTGGACCAGATCGAGCGGATATATCATTGCGTTATAAACAGTATATGCAGGTGCGGCCATTTTAAAGCCAGGCCTCGTCACCGTCCAAGAATCGTGATTTTTCGAGAGGATGCGAATGAGCTGAGCGAGCTGAAGCGTTACACGTGCTCGATATGATTAGATTAGATGTTAGATTTATTGATAGTGATAGACGCAATCCTCTCTTCCCGATGAAATATCGTTTCAGCCATCTTGAAATCCATCTGGAATATTTTAAGAAATTTTTCTTACAGCGAAAGAAATTTTTCAAAATTTAAACTTTCTCGAAAAATATCGATTTATTGATAGTGATAGACGCGATCCTCTCTTCCCGATGAGATATCGTTTCAGCCATCTTGAAATCCATCTGGAATATTTTAAGAAATTT